TTTTGGGTGTTTTTTTTTAAAAAAAAAAAAAAAAAAAAAAAAAAACAGGAAGATGACGGGTATTATTAAGGTCCTGGATCTCTTCACTCGGCTCACGTCAGCTTTCTGAACACAGGAGGACAGGTAAGGTTAATTCAGGCTCAGTTTGGGCTCTTTCAGTAAACGGAAGCGGGTCCGAGCCGGGAGGGGGGAAAGGGCGTCTGGGGAGTCCAGGGTTTGATGGAAGGAAGTGGAAGGCTGGAGAGGCGGCGTCGGAGGGCGGACAGGTAAGTGGGGAATTCCACTGCTGGGCACACAGGCAATCTCGGATCTCTGAGGGAGAAGCACACAAAGGTTCACTGGGAGAATTTCTAGATGCGGTCAGAACAGAGATGAAAACTCTGGGGCCTGAAGTACCGAACATTGGTGACACTCTGGCAGTGAAGTGACGGCGACTCACTCCTAATATAGGAGCTGAGGAGATTGGCATCAGGTGCGTTGGAACCAGAGCTGTAGGCCAACCCTCCAGGCAAAACCCTCAGGACGCCCTCTGGTGGACAAAAGGTGAGAGCAACCCCACCATCCCACAACCCTGAATACCAACAAAAATTACATTGTCAATAATCTTTTCTTTTTAATAGAAGAAAAACCTGTGCCTGAGTACAATTCTGAACCACCTTTTTTAAATAAATAAATAAAAATCATAAATATTTTTAAAATTTGTTTTTGAAAACATTAGAACAAAGTATTTTACAAATATTGCTCATCTCAAAATTGCATTGCAACTGAGCAACATTCAGTGAAAGTGCCTGCTACAAAACAAATGTTAGTACTGTTCAAAAGTACTTCAAGTTGGTTTAAATTTCATCCTCATCTTGAAACTGAAAGGGTGGAGAATGAGCTCGCATATCAGCTGGTGTCTGGAAAAAGGGCTGAGGGAGATTTTGAGCATGTGGATGAGCATTATTGAAGGGCAGTGGTGAACTTAAGTCTGGAAGATAGGACACAGCAATGGTGGGAGATGGAGCAGAAGTCATAGGAAACAGTGAGGAATGGTGAGCAGGATGCTGTCTTGGGCTGTAAGGCTGTGAGGGCGGCATTGGAGTATGGTAAAATGGTTGCTGTGGAGGGTGGTTTGATCTCTCCAAGAACTGTGATAATATCGTGAACATTTTCAATTCATGCTCACGCTGAGCTGCTTGCATCTTCAACAAAAGATCGGCATCTTCACTTTTGAGGCCAGTACTGATCTTGTCAGCAAAAACCTCAAGAGTAGCCTCCAGCTTTGATTTTCTTTTTCTGTTCTTGGCAGAAGTAGCTGTATTAAGAGAAAGATCAGATAAACCATTACATGTTATCTTTTTGTATTACACTTAGAAAAACTTTAAAACTGCAATCAATTCAAACTATATTTATGGTAATACCAAATATATTTTAAGCACCCTTAACAAAATACTTCCTCAGTTTAGTTAGTAGAAGGTTTGTTTATAATTGGACAAAATAAATAGTATCTTACAGCCAGTGGATGTGGAAGATGCACCGCTATTAAAGGCTGTATCTTCACTTCTTGTTGAAGAACTTTCCTGTGAGGTATAGGCAGGGGTTCCATCACCTTTATAAACATAATATGTAAATACACATGAGATCAAGATATGTAAAAAATGAATATATGTTACACCCTAGAAGTATTTTATTTAAATTATTATAGGTTATGGATAAAAATATTTTATTCATTTATTTAATATATCTTATTTGTCTTATTAATGTGATTAAGACATTCTGCCTAGTCTTCATTCAGGCACAGAAGTTTTACAGAATCTGAGCCGCGTGTTGCATCACTGTTTTTAAAAGATAAATAGCTTAAGTTGTAAAGTTGTAACTAGAAGAAGAAAGTTTCTAACAACTTTTTTCTGTGAGTTAATATCCGGCTGCTTCAGACAGAAAAATTCCAAAGGATAAAGCCCAGGGTAAATAAAATTGCCAAAACTGAAGTAGCATTCCTGTTTTTCCATGAGTGCAATATAGTCCTATGTGTAAATATCTCACCTGAATTGGCGCTAGCGCTGCTAGCTGGACTAGCTGTATTAGCTGCAGGACTTGGGCTCATCTCCTCCTGCTCCTCTTCGGCACAGCAGCTATCCAGTAGGTCCAAAGGTTGAACGCTGGGCTTGTCTCCTAAAATGCGGTCCAACTCGTTGTAAAATGGACAAGTGACACGTCCACTGCCGCTTCGTTTGTTTGAGTCTTTAGCCTCCTTATATTTTTTACGGAGGCTCTTCATTTTTCTTTGGCATTGGATCCAGGAACGTCTATACCCACGCACGGTCATTTCTTGTGAAATGCTAGTAAAAACCGCCCGGTTTCCAATAAGATCCCTCCAGTTTGGCCTGGATAGACCTATCCCCCCATATATTTATT